GTGGAGAGGTAGGGAAGCATCTCTTAATGCTAGTGGTAAAGTTAAAAATACTTAATCCTGTTTCCCTTTGGTAACATACTTGTAGCCCAGCTGTTTTTTGGTTTAGATGTACGTACAGCTTCTGGTTCCAAAACTATATCCAGTTTACTCTCATCTGCAACTTACTGCCTTGCTAGAAGGTGTAACTTCAATCTGTAGTGTTTTGCATGAAGGTGGTGCTTAGGCTTTCTTGTGCCAAGGGGATTGCACATAATCTTTCCACAGCCGGAGATCGATTTGGTGGGCAGACAGAGCAGGATGGGAGCGGGGATGTCAGGCATGCTTGACTCTGCCCAGTCCACATGTTGGGCCTGCAGAAGTCATTCCTGTGATCCTCTCCCAGCCCTTCTGCAGGCAGCGTGGGGAGCGAAGTGCTGAAGAATGGGACAGCTTTTGCGTTTGTTTACTGACCAACCTCGTTTACAGCTTGGGAAAGGGAGGGAGTGCTTTTAAACCCAAATTTATTGCTTTGGCAAAACCGGGCTCACAATTTTGGCAGTAATATATAGATCTTTCTCTCATTTCTTATTTGTCTTGTGAATTATATTAAAAATAAATGTGAATTAAATTTCATTCCCTATGCCTGACAAACAAGGGAAATTAGGTGACCCAATTATGTCCATCTGCAGTGTGTTGGATGCAGCAGGACAAGCTTATAGGATTTTTTTAACACAGTTTAGCGAAGAATGTAATCTTTTCAGACTAAAACTACAGCTTTTGAAATTCACAGGTTAGTCTTTTTCATGAGAAAGGAATTGAATAATGGCACTAGAGAGTAGAACCATGCTTAGCTGCAAAATGGATAAGATATCAGATGACGAGGCATTTGGCTAGTTATCGAACATATATAAGATTTATACATGTTCCTTTTCCGGGTTAAGTAAAGGTGGCCCGTCCACTTGGAGTCAAGTCCGGTAGATTTGTCTCAATTTGGTATGCAACGCATCATGATCACAAGTGCCCAATATAGTCCCTACGTACCACGGAGACCGGAGGTGTAGTGTGGGGTGTACCACAATGTCATCATTTCGTTTTTTCTTTTGTTGGTAGTTAGGGTGGCAGCCCAGACTTTCCTGTTGGCTTTGCACACCTGCTTCGCCCTTACCTGGAGAGACCAGTTCCAGACTTGATAGAACAGTGCATTCTGTACGGCTTCATCAGCCCTTGGCATCTCTTCCCTTAGCGCTAGTAATTCAGGATAGGATTTCGAGAAGTTCAGCTGAGACCCCAGTATTTCTGCACTTGGGCCAAAAAGTATCAGTGAATGTGTAACTGGGCTGCTGAACAGCTTTGGCTATTCAGTCAGTGCTGGGGGGATTCCTGCAGGCCAGTACACAGCAGTTCTTGTTTTCCTATGTCCCTGTCTGGCGCTTTGGGCTGAAAATACAGATTGCAGTGTTATCTTTCAGGGAATGTTTCTCACATGCGATATAATGTATCTGGCAAGAATAGGTAAATTAATTCCCTGTTTTAACTATAAGCAGTAGGATTCATTAGTGTGGTTGATGAAAGTTTGTTTACGATGTATGGGATGTGCAAAATGTGTTATTATCTTTGCTGATCAGCTGACGTTGAGCTGCCAGCATCCTGCATTTGGCATGTTGCATCCTGATGCTGGTTCAATTTCCTTATGCTGTTGCAATTCGGTGACATGTACTTTGAAAACACATTTCTTTTCAGTTAGTGTGCCATACGTTTTTAGGTTAAAAACTCATTTAACCTAGCAATGCTTGGAGAAGCAACACGATCTCTTAAGGGATAGAACCTAAAGCTAAGGTTTTGACTGTTTTCCACCTCCCATGTGGACATCTCTGAACTTGTAAACATTACTTCATTGCTTTTAAGTTTTTCTGTATGTTAAAAAGTACTCTTTGTAGCAATCTCTGACCGAAATGTAAGCCATTGTAAGGAAGCAGAATTATTTAGGACAGAAGGATAAGGATGGATTGAAACGGGAGTCTTTCTGCTTAGAATAGTTTTCATTTCATTTCCATGGTAAAGGACCTTGCATGGTTTTATCTGTTCTTAAATCCTATCTGGGAATGTAAGTCTGTTGGGGCAAGAAGAATTTTGATTGTAAGTTTGAGGAATGGTTTTATGTTCTTGTATTTTAGTGACACCTAAGTGGAAAGTATTCAGTTATTTTTTTCTCATACTCGCAGCAGTACATGGTGTGAGTTAGGCTTTGACAGAACTTCGTGACTAGGAGAAAACACGAATATTGCTTTCCATGGTAGGAGTGCTGGTTGGTGTGACAAGCCCAAGCACCTATTTTTGTACCTGTGTAAGCGAAGGGAGGCTTGTGCATGGGTGAAGCGATAACAGACCTACCTGAGTCCTGCTTAATAGACTAAATGAAGCAGTCACTGCTCATTTAGACAGAGGCACGAAAAATTGGAACTGAGCATGGGCAAAATAAGCAATGTTCTGACCTTGCAGGAACAGAAGATGGATATAGGTGAGCAAAGAAACAGAATTCAGAGCTGGTAATTGCAACTGAAGCAAAGAATTGCCTGACCTGAAAAATGCTTCAGGGCTGGATCATTGTGTAGCACACAGGTCTGCTGGGACTCGTAAGATTGTGAGCAGGACTCGTGCTACTGGTGAATCAGCTGTTCCTCAGCTGTCTTGCTAAACTCTTTCTCGTATTTTTCACTTCTTCCCTCCCACCCCCAAAATACACAGTTGCAAAATACTTTCAGATCTTATTTCTTAGGGTTCGTTAGAGATGAATGTGGAAATGTTGGTGTGTCGTTGAAAACGTTGGAAGCGTGAGCTGCTGTTTAGAATAAATAGGAACAAGTTGGTAGGAGAACCTTTGTGTGGCTTTGGAGTGATCACCAGGCCTTTTAGTCTTACTTTGTTCTCATACTTTTCTGAAAAAGTAATGAAACTGATTTTTTTTTTTTTTTTTTTTTTTTTAAAATTCGTTTTTTCCAATTCAGTCATTGGAGCCTTTAGCAGAAAAGGTGTTTGTTATTCAGAGGATATGCCCTATGATTTAGCAGAGTTGTTCTCAAGTTCTGGTGTGCAAGCTTGATGTTCCAGCCATGTGTTTGTTGTGACAGTGGTGGGGTGAGTTCAGCTCAGGGCAGCAATGTCGATGGGACAAAGACAGTGTGTTTTGAGCACTGCTGCTGACTTATAGAGGGATAGACTTTTTTGCTTGAAACTGAAATTGTGTGATACAAGCCTTCTGGCTGGTCATGAAAATGGCCTGTGTGGTGGCTGTTGCAGTTCTCAGCTGAATTCCTATGAATTTATAGGGCTAGGAAAACATTTGATGTTTGTTTTGATTTATATTTGGTGTTAAATCTAACAAATGCATAGATTACTATTATTTGTAGTTTGGGGTGTGCGTGGGGAATTTTAGTGGTGACTATAAATATGCTGTCACTGTCAGAAGGACCAAAGTGCATCTTGGAAGCAGTAACTTCCCATGCTCTACTCCTTTTCTTTAGGAAAGAGTTTGCACAGTTGTGTGGTGAGTATTTGTACGGTGGTGGTGGTGGGGATGTGTCTTTGAAGTCCATAGAAATGAGAAGAGCAATTAGTTTCTGCAAATGGTCCTGTTGTCAGTGCTGTAGATAATCTTTCTTGGGACTGTACTCCATGTTTAGAGGGCAAGAACAGTGGGAACTAATTAGTGAGGCAGGGCTTAAATAATCTTTTCAGAGCAGGCAATTTCTCTCCTCTGGAGAGGTGAAATGAATCTTTTAAGCCTTTGATAAAGCTCAGCTGCTTCGAAAACTTGTTTGTAAGAGACATTGTGGAGAACCTATGGGTGAAGCTAGCAGGTATTTTGGATTCAGCATTTCTCTGATAAATCCGGGGTACAGAACAGTTGAGTAGCTCTAGCTACTCCTGTCTTGTTTCCCTGCTAGTAATGACATCTGCATGGGGCGGTGAACAGCCATGGAAGAAACTGAGTTCGTCTAGATCTGCCTTTGCTTGCTTTCCACAAAAAAAAAAAAAAAAAAAAAAGTATGTTTGTTAAATTTAAGCTGGACTTTATTAACAAATGCTGCAGGTATGCGTCTCTTCCCTAATCAGAAGCTCATAAGTACAGCCACTTACACTGTTAATTACATGATTCTAGCTGCGATGTTGTCCTGAGTAGCTGGTACTCACTGTTTCATTGCACATTACAGAGGGCTTGAACTGTCACTTCATTTGTGAGACGGAGCTGCTTGTCTTAGAGGCTAGTGTGATGGATAGGAAGAGTTATAAATTCCTACCATGCCCTGGTACCCAGTGTCAGTTGTAAAATATGTTCAGAAATATGTCACGAGGCTAAAAAAAAAAGAGAAAGTCTGTAACTGTTAGCTACTGGTGACTGAATAGTGAGGTTTGTCTGAAAAATTCTGTGCAAAGGGTTTTCTAGCCTAGCTTTCAAGTGCCAGTCTTCGTAATTGCTATATTCAGATAACATATGCATAGTTGAAAACAATAATTTTGGTCAAAATCAGCATGCTTTACATTTCTCCCTAGCTTTCCTCAAATCCTTGGTAAGCTATGCCTCTTTTTTTTTTTTTTTTTCTTTACTAGAAGAAATTACATGTCACGGTATTTATTGGTTTTTCCAGGGAGTTGGATTTTATGCTGAAAGCTTCTTGGAGAATGCAAAGCTTGAATGCATTCCATTCTCAAGTGATTGGGAATCTCATTGGTATGGCCAGGGTGTAAACCTTGCTGAAGAAGAATGACTTGACCACTAAAAAACTTATTATTTAAAAATAAACAGAGTCTACAAACTCCAGAGAAGCCTACAGTTTTATGAATTTTGGTTAGCCCGTGTTCTAAAGCAAACTGTGATTCAAAGCATATTGAGTGAAGGATCTTTCTGGTTTTCAGCTTTGTATATTTCTGTAATGCTTTGCTCATTTGTTTTCACAGGGCAGTTTCCTCATACATTTTTTCCAGCTACGATCATTAATTTGGACTAAACACGTGAGTTATCTGATCTTCTGTGGTTTTTAGAAGCAGGTACGTTGACAGGAAAATCTCTGATGTTTTATTGACTGGGGATGGGGGGGACGACCTCATCTGTGTGCCAGAAAGAATTGCAGGGTTAGGGAAATTCTGCTTCAGTAATTATGTATAGCATATTAATGTAGCTTTCTCAAGAAAACAAAGTTGGTAAGTACTTTGATAAGATTTTTTTCAATCCTTCATTTGTACAGATGGATTGTGCTGCCTTCTGGGCGTAGACCAGCTTTGTAAGTGGGTGTGGAAATATACTGATGTAATATGTGCTGGGTAGTATTGTCATCCTAAAATGTGTCTTAGAAAAGCTCTATGTAACAGGAACAGAGATGTGTTAGAGGTTTTCATGCTGGGGTCTCAGTACTGTCTTAAGACTTTTGCCTGTCTACTTTGATGTCATCAAGTAGGAAGAGCTGTGGTGGCTGAGGCTATCACCCAAAATAACTGTGCAGTGTATGAAGAGCAAAGCTGTAGTCTTAATTTAACCTTTTTATACATATATTTTGGTAGCTTTTGAGCCATGTGGAGTGTTTTTTTCCCCATGTTGCTTACAAACTGTGTGAAGCATTCGCTGCGTGGGTAGGCTTTAGTATTTTTATCCTTCCTGTTAAATGGGCGGCTTCATGATAAATCCACTTTAGCTGAAGTTTAGTTTACAGGAACCAGGTTTAGGTAGGAATTTCCATCACCCCTTTTTAAAGTTTCAAAAACTAGTAAACATCTGGAAGACTGTTTTGATGAAAAACAAGGAATAATTACATGTATGGACTACAAATCTCTTGTAATATCTGATGTGTAGAGGAATGCTGGAATGTGGCCTCCCTTGCTGGCATGGGGGCAGCTGTGGCATTTTCTTGGTGCTAGTGTTTGGTGCCACCTATTGATAAATATCCCAAAGAGTTTGTTCCATTTTTAAACGATAGGTGTGTTACCACTTTTCAGGGGTTTGGTGTGTTTTTTTTCATTTCTGAATTGATTTCTTTGGCTACTAGTACAGCACCTTCATCTCTCCAAGTAACAATATTTAAAAAAAAAAAAGGAAATAAAAGTATGTATTGGTATAATATTAAGAACCAGTCACAACCTTTCAGACTTGGTATCTTGATAAACGTTTATTGTTTTATCAGTTTCTGGGTATGCATAACAATGTCTGTTGCTCACTGTCTTATTTTGTTCATTGTCTTGCTACTGACAGCACTTCTTAGCACTTGCTAAATTGCACTGTGGAGTATATGCTTAGTATAATAATCCAATCTATTTGAGTTGACACTACACAAAAATGTGGGATCATTTTATTCCCCTTTCAGAAATCAGTTTGCTGATTATAGCAAAAAAATATGATCACCCTGCACATTTACAGGCTGCAGGTTTCCAAGCAGAACCGTCTATAGCAAATCAGGGTAATGCAAATCTTCCCACTGGAAACTTACTCAAGTAGGACTGGTGATATAGCTTTCTCCACTTTTTACTACTGTTATCTTCGTGCTAAGTAATGTGGGTGGTAAAGCCTATCCCAGCAGCTGCTACTGAAGTTTGCATTTCTTCCGACTCACTCAGGAGGGCCTATGTGTAATTTTAAACTGTTTCCACACCCAGATTACTTTCCCTTAAAAGTAATAATGAAAATAAAGTGAAGGGAGAGGTTGGTAATGACTACAAGAAAACATTACATGGCAAACTGTGTGTTTGAAGCTGCTGTGATACGGTCTTCACTAAGCATGCCTCATGAGTAGTGTATTCCCTTGGTTACTAAGGTTCAGGAAAGCAGATTTATAGCTTAGTTTAGGACCAGGTCCAATTCTGTGAATAGAAACTGGTTGGAGAACTGCTCTGGAGCTGCTCCTCTGAGCTGTGCGTGGTGGAGGAGTGACTGGTTTACACCTCTATCCACAGATTCCTTAGTGGGGATTGCGTTCCTCCAGCATGCAGTACTTCTAAGAGGTTAGGTTAGTTTGTTATGCTGCGGTACTGGTGTATTATTTGAAGCACCATTATTTTCTGAATTTGAAGTTAAGGTTTTTACTATTGTTGACTTAATAAACATGCTCCAAGATAATTTTTAATAGAAGCTGAAGAGTATGCCTGAACATTTTTTTGTGTCTTGGTAAACACCCTGTTGTGGAACTTCCAATATTTACCAGATGCTTAGACAACAAAGTATAATCATGCTGTGCTCTATAGAATTTAGATAGCATAGTCCATTTATTCCAAAACATAATAATTTTTTGTTAAAATAGAAAAGCAAAACTTCAGCTTTTAAATGGTATCAGAAAGGATGATAAACTCTACTCCTTCCCTGCTCCTCTTAACTCTTCTTTCTCTCCAAAACAATTTTATAAATTTTATGAAGTTTTTCAGAAGTACAGTGATATTTTTTGTATGATATAAAAAGGAAAAAAGAAAAAAGAGAGGGGAGAAAGACTTAAGAGTTTAGATCTCATCCAGCTTTTGTTTAGCCTTTGCAGGCTTGATGGCTGTGCATTCTGCATCCTGTTTTCATGCAGTTATGCTTATTTATGGAAAAAACCCAAAAGCACAGACTCTTCTGTCGGGGTGATTCTTTCATCTAGTTGTTAGAAGTCTCTTTTCCTACTCATGCAGTAATGTAACAACAGATAATGAGCTAGTAGGGATGTGAACATCAGCCTCTTTGAATGTTTGAGTTGCATATGTAAGGCCCAATTCAGCTGTTGAAATTTTTAAGGATTTCTCTGATGAAGCATGTGGTTCCTTACTCTCCTAGGCTAATAAGTAGTGTGCCCACTGACAAAAAATAAGTGGTCTGGAAATTAAACTTTCCCTATTGCTCCTATTATACCCCATTACCCATTTTGTCTTTTTGTGATCTTACATCTTCAGGAAATCCAGGAGCTGGCAGGAGGGGAATGAACCGTGAGGGCGTCCCCGGAAAGAGTCCGGAGGAGGTGTATATTCAGCAGAAAGTGAGAGTCCTGCTCATGCTGAGGAAGATGGGATCAAATGTAAGATGCACTGTCATAGCCTGTGTTTTGTGTTTCTCGAGGCAATTCTGTAGTAACCAGGATAGTGCTTGCTCAGATGGGCAGGTGATGGTCTTATTTTATGGCCTTTTGTTGTAGCTGTCATTGGTTTAACAATTAACTGCAATTAAACACGATTGATTTCTGCTTAAATATTGTGAGATTTGTGACGCCTGAAACTAAATCTGAGCATCTGATAGTTTTTCTGCGTACAGTAAAGTTTTTGTTATTGGAAAACCATAAAAATAAAGCAACTGTTTTAAGGTGACTTTGCATCTCTCTGTGAATGCATGAGTTACCAGTTTGCTGCTGTGTCCTTGCTGGTGGTATAGTTTGCACAGATAACAGTTGATTAACTGTTGAAGAGTAGAACGGGGGCAACTGTGACGTTTCTTACTGGGAAGTGGGAGATATCTTCAGTCTTCATTTTCCTTTTTGCTGACTGACTCTTTGTAAACTTCCAGCTGACTGCTAGTGAAGAGGAGTTCTTGCGCACATACGCAGGTGTAGTGAATAGCCAACTTAGCCAGCTTCCTCAACACTCGATTGATCAGGGTGAGTACTGGATTTGTTTGCCTAGTGTTTGTTTAATCTGTGAGAGCGGTCTCAGAAAATACCAGATGTATGTTCCTGTATTTCCTTAATAAGATACCACCTACTTAAACCCATCCTACAGTCAGATATGCCTGCTATAATTTTTGAAAGAGAACTCAAGTGTACTGTTCAACAGGTGGTTTTATTTTAACAGATAAAGTCAGTCTTAAGATTCGTTAAGATGAAGAGCATTGTTAAACATCGTATTCGCCATGATAACTCAAAACATTGATGGCCAAAGTCCTGTGAACTAAATGTGTGTATATAGCTTCCTATTCTATTAAGTAGAAAAAAATTTTAACCTGATTGTTTTTTTGCTATAGATGAAGTTAAATTCAGGTATGCATAGGTCCCTCTCATTCTGAGTGTGTCTTGCTACATTCAATATGGATCCTCCCCGTAATATGACTTTCATCTACATTTTTATATTCTTGAACTGGACATCTGTGCTTAAAAAGGAACAAGGCTGGGGGTGGCACTTCAAAGTGGGAGTTTTATAACAAAATAAAATTTAAAGTAGATTCAGATTTCTAAGGTACAAATTCAATTTGTTATGCACATAATTTAGTTTCTATGACTCTAGTTGCTTGGTAACACTTCTCACAAAATAAAATGGAATCATCTAGCATCATCTTTTGTTTTTCACATTCCGTGAATGTGGAAGTGCAATGTTGCTATTTCAGCAGAGTAAGAGGGAAAGTTTAGCAATAGGAGGATTTTGTTTCCCATTGCATTTCTTTAATTTGCACAACATAATTCCTGGAGGGGGTAGTAGACATGAAATAAGCAAGTTTACAAATCTGCTTTGGTTTGTTTAGATTCCCATTAAGGGGATGAAGTATGTGCTGCTTTTGTGAATTCTTTGTGGGAGTCTTGGTGAACAATTGTGTGGTGCTACTCTGAATCTACAATTCTCTTCTGAACCTGAATGTTTCTTTCTGAATCTTTTTTGTTTCTCCCCTTCATAGGCCTCATGCCAGATCACATTCATAGTGTACAATTTAGTATTGAAGGCAAATTGCAAGACTCATATGCTAGAAGGAACTAAGTTGAGCAGAAATTTAATACAGATCTAAGACATTTAGAAAACCATCAGAAACAACCTGCACAAACTTGCTCTTTGGTTTTAAGCCTGTGTGTTCATTCCTCACATAGCTGGGGAATTGATGGAGATAGATATACTTGTATATTTTGGCTCAGAATTCTTAAACTTTTCTCCCAGTCTAAAGTGGAAAATTTGCCGGTTTCTCCTCAACAAAGGAGGTAGACCTATTCCGTTAAGAAAGACTGTCTTAGTTGCAGTTGGCAGTTTTCAGCATTATCCCTGAAGTAGTTACGTTTCTCACAATGAAAATATATGCTGAATTACCTGCACTTTGGCGAAGAAGAGGTAATAAAAACAGAAGTCCAGCCAGGGGGCACGGATGCTTTGTACAGCTGTGCTCCTGCACAGCTCGGTCTAACTTTCTTGTCTAAACTGTCTGGTCTTATAATCTGTGAAATTGTATTTTCTCACATTGTAGAGGGCTTTGGAGACTCAGAAAATAGTATTTTGACATAACTTTTAAATGTAATCAAAGGAGAGACCAGCGGTTACTTAGTCTGCTTCTAGACTCACTAACCATGCAATACAGGAAATTCAAGAGGTTCATACATTGTTAAAAAAGTTGTCTTTGAACAGATGCTAACTGATTTCTTTGTCATCATTTTCGTAAAGTCCTTGAGGATTCTTAAAACTTTGTCTATAGGGAAGTGAAGTCCTCACTGTTGATGCTTGGTTTGATCTGGTCTGAGACACTGCTGTCTTTCCTGGGAGATTTGACCCCACAATCTACCTTCAATCCTCCCAAATTACAATTAAGCTGGTCTGACCATTAAGGTTTTTCTTGGTACAGGAGAAAAGAACGAAGAAAGAAAATAGGTAAATATTTAGAGAAGTGGGAAAGGATGCTAGTTCTTTTCATACTCAGCTATGCCATCTCTCCAAATTAATTAGTGAATAACATGAAGAACAAATGAAAATGAGGAAATGTAGCCAACTACTTTTTCCTTTGGAGAAAGGTGCAGCTGTAGTATGCTATATAGACATAAGCAACTATAATTTATTGCTCAGGACTTTGATTTCCTTGGAAATCTCTCCAGATTTCTAACAGTCACATACGATAATGTTGTTCTTTGCTTTTTGGTGTCACGGCTCACGCAGCAGCAGTCACTGCCGTCTGTCTGTACCTTTTGCTATATTCTGCTGGTGGTGAAACAGGAAGGGTCGGTTATGGAAGTATTGGAAATGGAAAATACAAATGGCATAGGTGTGCAATTCGCCATCTTAAGGCAAATTCCGTCTCCACTAGATGGCATTATCTTGCGCCGAAAACCCCCGTCCCAAGTCCACACACTGAGGTGCTTCAGTGTTTTGTGTTCCTCAAGATTGCTTAAAGGAATTTTCTTCCCTATTTTTCTGCTGTTTCCGTTGAATCTCCTCTGAAGGATTTTTTTTCTTTCATTTATGCAATGTGCCTTACACAAAAGAAGGTGTGTTATTTAAGGAGTAACTTACGAAGAGTTAGTATGCTAGTGGATTTCACAATCTTTTCTTCCAATAGTAGGACAGCTTGCTCGCAAGCCAGCCTAACTTGTCCCAGACCTGTCTTTGGAGTCATTTTCCTCCAGCAGGCACACAAAAGACAGAAAGCTAATTTCATACCCCTGTTTTGTTCCAAAAAAGAGAGAGACACTTTTGACCTTAGCACTCTAAAGGCTTTGTTATAGACCTGCAAATTTTTGTGTGCCACTTAAAAGTGCTGTAGTCTGGCTCCACATTTAGAGGAAGAGTAAGGTCATTTTCGTTTGTTGGGGGGGGGGGGGGCTAGAATTTTGTATCACAGTCGCTATTACAATTTTTGTGCTTTTCTTTGTTATGCATCCATGAAATACTGTCTTAGAACAGCTGGCTGGTGGCCTCCTAGTAATTACCTGAGGTAGTACTGCTGAGCTTATCATTGTGTGGGGCTCCCTACTACGGTTTCTGATAAAGATCTGTCAGCTGCTTTGTTGAGTCTATTTGTTTGACCACAGGGAGTCACTGCAACCTGTGTGTCCGATACATATTTGCAGCAATGTGACAGTGCATTGAAGAAAGAACTTTACACTTGTCCCTGCTGAATTCAAGGGCTTGTGCCATAAACTTTCAATGAGCCAATATTAATAGCAAAAGTTCCTCCATGATACTCTGCTTATTGTCTTAGGGTTCAGCAATAGAAGTTAATTGCTAATTTTGATCAGGAAGCATCTTAGAATACCTCTGTAATTTTTAAGCAAGCCTGAAGTCTAAGACTCCCCTTCAGTTTGTGCATATTTTTGTAGGAAGAGGAGAAATTAAACTCTGTATCTTTTTGTTTCCCATCTTGCTTTCAAAGGGAATTCATCAGTTCAGATATACAAAATCACTGTGTTTTAGGGATTGTTTACAGATCTCCTTTTACGTTTGAAACACCTTCACTCTTGAAGCACCTGCATTGTATACTGGTGAAGTGAATCGTGTTTTCCTGACAGGAAACTCACAGTTACTTTAATTGCATTACTGAATATCTTTGTGTAAATCAGGTAATAATGGCATATGCCCAGGGTGCTCTATTGTGCTGTAGCAGATAACAAATTGAAATTAGTGCAGATCTTTCTAGTATGTGTTCTAAACTCTTTACATTCATAGCCACAACATAAATTAGAGCAGCAGTTCTTTCTGTGAAGGGATCTTAAACGACCAGAACATGTACTCCAGTCTTAAAGTAGTCTTTTTTTTGTTTGCTTTTTGTTTTAAATTCCAGATATATATGCCCTTTCTTTTCAGTGTATTCCAGAATCTTGGGAAGTGCTTAGTCCCTCAGCATGTTGACTTTGATACATGCTCTCGAGGTGCTGTTTCGCTAACACGGCCTACAGTCCACCAAGAGCAAGGAACGGTTAGGCAACTCAGATGTCTGGATGCTGTTCATAGCTTGATATTTTAGCTATTTTTATTAACACTCTGACCTGTTCACCCATTCTCTTCTTCAGCTGATCCAGACAGTCATGTTGCATTCATGGCAGTTGAGGCTTATCTGATGTATCAAAAATACTTTATTATCCATTGAAAGATGAACTGCTAGCAGAGGGGATGAGATCTCAGTAACCCAGGAAAGCCTGAACAACAGTTATAAAACTCTAATCTGGAGTATTTAATACTTAAATTTAGTATTAATAAAGAGACTAAACGTTAATGTCATGATCACGGGATTTTATAACCATTTTTTTCAATCATTGCTGTAATGTTGTTAACACCTATATGAAAGTGCAAAATATGGGGCATTTTCCTTTTTTTGAGCTTTTTAGCTGACATCTGTGGGTTGTTTGGTGTTTTGTTTTTATGGCTCCAAGAATAACTGAGGAACCCAAAGGCATCTCTGTTCAGTGTGTATGCTAGAGAGTGGATGTAATCATGAGCTGCTCTGAGGTATTAACATATTAGTTGTCTTCCCTGCATTGCAGTAAGAACTAATGTAGCTCAGACTCATTAGGTTTCTTGAGCTTGAAATGATGAAATTAAAGCTTTCTCACATATTTTTAATACAGGCAATATGCCTCTCAGGAAGTTTATACGCACAGAAGCATCTCCTGCATAATGAACTTATTTCCTGTTTCCCAGTTACTTGTATTTCTAAATGGTAGGCTAGCACTTGGCTTTCTTAAGTCGCTGCTCTGGCAAATCTGTAAATGGAAGCTGTGCAGCTAGTAAGCATGATATGTGAATTATACTAAGACCTTGGTGATTACAGCTCTGTTGTTCCTATAGCAACAGGAGTGTCGTGCTGGTTCTTGAAGAAAGCTGGTCCCTTGGGGAGGACAAAGCCGAGATGCAGACACATGCCTCAGCTAGGTTAGACGTGTACTCTGGATGGTAGGGCATTACAAATGGACCTGGGCTG